AAAAAAAAAAAAATAAAAATAACTGAAATATTTGACATATTACACCTATCAAGAGTGGTCTAGAGAGCTTACATTCAGCATAAGAAAATCTTGAAACACCACCTTTTGTGTCAAAAAGTTTAAGTCGAAAAACTATTTGGGGCACTTTTACCCTTCTTACTCGGCTAGACCCTTTCTAGTGTGTTTGATCTGCGTCAAACAAAACAATCCAAAATACATCTCATCTTTGACTTATAAAATTTTATCTTCTAAAAAATTAAAAAAAGATAGCCAAAAAAGGTCAAATAAACCATTGACGTGTAGAGAGATTGAAGTGCGGTCTAACTGAATCAGTATCTAAGATTTATCAATATTAATTAGATCTAAATAAAAAATATAGTGCAATGCGCTTACGCAACATTGCACTGTCAAATAAAGTAAACATTTCAGTAGAAAAAAAATTGTTTAGCTATCCGAAAGTTAGTTAAAAACTAATCGCAAGACTCTATTGATTCCATCAGTGATAGAGAAAAAAAAGTTAAATAAAACCATGTAAAAATTTACTAAACGATATTGTGTGTGTCAACAGGTTTATAAGCGTCGCTCACGAGATATGGAGACAGAAACAGACGAGGAACTGCTACTGCAGTTTCCTGTCACAGGGACTATGGCGCACAACAACAATAATAACAACAATAACAACAACAACGGCAACTCATTGGACGCATCAAGTGGCTCGCTATCCTCGGTCTCGCTCTCGGACAAGAGCATGTCTACGGACACCAACGTCGAAGAGTACTTCGGTGATGTGCCCTTCGCAGGTAACAATAAACAGCAACATCACACGCTTGGCTGCACCGCATGACGCTTTTTACTATTAATTATGCCCTCGTGTACTCTACATTGCATTCTCGTTGTTGTGCGTTGTCTTTGTTGCCGCGATCAGTACATTTAACAACGCAACGATCCGAAAGTCACAGGACCTACGATGGATAGTTATAGATCGCGTTTGCGTTATTATCGCTATCGTGGTATCGTTTATAAGTATATGTATGTACATTGTGTTAATAATTTTTTATTACATTATCATCTTTTTTGGTTCCATTTGTTTTTGATTATTGTTTTTTTCCATGCGTATCATATTGTTTTGCTTGATGAGTACGTGTATGATATATACTCGAATAGAATTTTGCTCAAAGGTTCTTTTTGCTTCATCATTAATTTGAGTTGAGAGTTAAAATTTTATATTTGAATAAAAAACTAACTTTGCATTTAACTATCATCAATTAAATGAGCGTGAATATGACGATATTAAATGTGCTGTAACGTACAAAAAACGCCTCAACTACCAATAGTTTATTAAAATTCCAATCGAGCTTAGTAGCTGAACGGTATTAAAACTGTTTATACCTTAGACTAGAATAAAGAAACATTATCGCTGGCCAGCAAAAATATGCTCAAGTTATATCGCGCTGACAACTATTATTCGTCTATTTATAAATGTAACCGAGTATTCAAACGTCGTAAGCCAAGGCTTCACGGTCATTCGCAAGCTCGCGAATAAAAATCGGTATTTCAACTATATTTCAGTTACGGCATTCAAAAATTGATTGTATTTGAAGTAAATTTCTTTACTCGACGGGTTAATTCTTAATTTAAAAAATGTAAATCTCATATTAAAACTCTTTAAGAATTTGTATTAAAAAATCGTGCTACGTAATTGTATCTAAATTAATAAAAAAATCGTGCTTCTCATTATATTTGCATAACATCTGTTTGCATTTCATGCTGTTCAAAGACGTAAGTCGCCTGTGATTTTTGAGTAACAATACTACTTCCGTTTCGTATGCGTTGCCATAACAAAAAAAAATAAAAAAATAAAGCTATGTAAAAAAAAGGAACTGTAAAATGGTTATCAAGTTTCAAATATATTACTGTTTATTTTTTTAAGAGATTTCTGTAAATTTTCCAACCAAATCGTGAATTCCTATTTTAATTTAGGTTGAATTACTATTCGTTCAAATAGGTATAATATTACAAATTTACGCACAATTATTAATGTTTAGATGTAGCTTAGACTATTATTAGTTATGTAAATTATATGTTTATTTATAAAAACATTAATCTAGTATTTTTTGTTGTAAGAAAAAAATATTGTATATTATTGACCTATGTTCGGAGCATTTTTTTGTCAATCTATAGAAAATACATGAATAAAGATTTATTTGAAGTTACTTATTAGAAAGTTTACAATTTGCGTGTTTAACAATCAGATCTCACAGTTTAATCTTTTCTTAATTGACAAAGAACTTAAATGAAAATTTTATTGTCTGCCTACAAATTATATCTATTATGAATATTATAACTATTAAATTATATCTATTAAAAAATCTCCAACAAAGGATATCTTAGGTTTTAGAAGGTGAAACGTTCGAAGTTGTTTTTTTTAATTTTAAAAATTTTTTTGAAGTGCTTCATTAAGATGAATAAATTTTCAGATTTTGAGACTATTTTTTTCCTCTAATGAGAAAATTTCACCCTTTAAAATTGATGATATCCTTCATACGTGCATATAAATTTGAAAGGATTAAATTACATAAACTAAAACACAATGATGACTCTGATTTATATTTCTTGTACAGTATTTGGAACATATTTAACAAAGTCAAAATAAAACATTACTCACGTTTGAAAAATTTTATGAATCTGCGCAGTAGGAATTCAAAAGCAAAGTAGAGTGCAATCAATAGTAAAAATATGTTTTGTTTATGTACTTGTATTTTTACACTACTTGGCATCGCACATAATAATTTGCACTTATAAGGCACCAGTTATCAATATAGTTTTTATTTTGTTATTGTTTTGCCTTGTTAATAAAACATTTATATATTCCTCTGTTATACAGCCGATAACAACTATTTGTAATAGCAAAATTTGTAAGCTCACATAAATATATTATACTTTAACATGTATATTATATTTATTAGAGTTTTAATAATAAACTAGAATATATTTACCTACATAAATAAATACATTTGTATTGAGATTAATGTCTAGTTGTATTAGTGCATTACACATACATACATACATACATACATATATATCGTTGCCAATAAATATTATATGCTGATACATGTAAAAATTGTCTGAATTTATTTTATTGCTTATTTATGCCTTATATGTTTCCTTAATGCGTAACAGTACATATGTTTTGCCTGCTAAAAAAAATTTTTCTTGCACATCACAACCAAAGATGGCTTACAAAAGCATTTGCAATACATTGTTTTTGCCTCAAATTAAAACATCGTTTGAAGTTGTGCTATAGGAGCTATGCACCTCAATAAGTTGCTTATTCAGTCAGTATGACATGATGATAAATTTACATAAATATTCAAAGAGACTAATGTATGTCAGAGTTAAAAGAAACATTTGTATTTAGTGCACTGTTTAACGGATATGCTTCAACTTGTGAATTGTCTTTCAGAGAATTCAAAAATAATTGCCGGTAATGTTTGCGCTTGATACTCCAAGGGAGACCATGGCGCTAATGTATGTTACGCATGCTTCTTTAATTATTTAAATTCACAGAGAGTAAATGGTAAGTAAGTGAATTCCTGACATTGGAGTTCTCTACATATTCTTGCTTACTTTATGAAAAGAATACCAATCTTTTCAAACAATTATCTTCAGTAAAAAACACATTGTATTATCATCCAAGTTAACAAATATCGCCAATTGAACATCCGCCTAAGGCCTTTCTTCACTCCACCAAAATATACCAATATGACTACTTCCTAATTTTCTTTCATTATTTATGTCTACACAACAGAAAATATATTACTTAACTAAATTTTTTCACTCATCGATTCTGGCGTAATGTATACTCAACTCTTCTTTCACTTTTAATGATTGTCTAACTAACATAACTTTAAAACTAGTGAGCTAAATCCTCTGTGTATGTTATTCTGTATGTGATTTTAGTAAAACAAAATGAATTAAATATTTTTCCGAAATATTGATGCTCTTAATGCTCATAGTATGAGATGAAAGACCAAATTACTACAATGTACCTTACTTCAATTCATTTACAAATGTCTCAATATTATTGTAACTATTTTGCTGTCGTCTTCTATGAATAGGTTTATGAGTCATGCGATCGGCTGAACGTCCCTTCATACCCATCTCTATTCGTAGCTGATCAGGCTGTAAAAGTAAACATAGTAGAGTGAATTACACTGTTCGGCTGGGTATGCAGTGTTTCATCAAAAAAAAATTTTTTTCTGAACTGTTTCATCTTTTTTTTTAGTACTTCTGCCACGAAAAAGCTTATTTAATCAGTAGCCACCGACAGAATTGGTATATGTGCCACTTACTCGAGACGCGTTTGACCAGCAACTACAGTATACTTATAACATCAGTTTGGAATGTGTGAATCGCGTGACTCATTCACATCGACAAGATTTATGTATGTGTGAATACTTGCATGTATATCCTTTCGCTTCGTTATTCTCGACGACCTAAAACGAAAGAAAGAACATAAGTATAGAGAGACAGAGAGGGAAAGATTGCTTTTACACAACACTCGGCCGGACGGTTCCTTCGCTTTTGTCCCTTTTATTCGTCTGATTAATCCGGCAAATCGTGTGGAATGTGGTGTGTCGTTTTGTACAAGACACTTGTAGCTCTCAGGGTGTAATATTTGGTCCCGAGCATAATTCGCTGATTCTATTTGGCAAGTTGGGTTGCATTCCGTGGATGATCTGACTTTATTGATTTACGAGAAAACGAGGAGTCTCCAGTTTTCCGAGGGATTTGTGCCTTTTAGTCCTCGTCTGTATACTCAATGTATTTCTAGATTAGTGCGGTAATATTGTTTTAGTAAAATATTAGGGTCAGTGGGAGCTTTTAAATTATGTAGTTAATTTTTTCACAAAAATATAATAAACGGTGTACTAAACTTTTCATATTGTAATTTAAAATTACACACTCGAAAAATCTTCTTATCCTCACTATTTCAATCAATAAAATCACAAGAGTACATAGATTTTTTTTGTGAGTGGCAATACGAATAATAAATTAAAGCAAACAGAAAGCTGTCAGCTCTTTACTATATTATTGAATTTTAAGCTCTCGTCAATGCTTGGATTCACTCCCTTAGGAATAATTCCAAGTAAAAAACAAAAACATGTGAATATGCATTGAGAAGAAATTTATTTCCTGTACTACTACTACTAACAAAGAAATCTATATGTTAACAATCAAGTAGCAAATAAACTTGTACTTTTTTTTTTTTTTTTTTTTTTTATGTAAGAGTCTGGAGAAATGTGACAAAAAAATAAAAGTACAAAACTTTACTCCAGTGAAGAAGCGTGGCCAAGAAAACTGGAGATCAACGCCCACTCGTTATCAGATCCATAGCTTGCCATGCACGTACTCCACACCGTGCAAAAAAAAAAATCCTCAAGGTCGCGAAGACAAGCATAATGGCAAAGATGGAGTCTCTCACTGCTTGCCCATAAACTCATCGTCCCCTTCGACAGTGCAAATATACCTCGCGTTGCTTTAAAATCCAGTGTCGTCGTCGTCATCCACCCACTCGTCCGTACACCTTACAAATATAGTCAGAGTTAATTTGCGACTACGCGTTCTCTTCCATCCCTCTTTCCCACCACACTGTGTGTCGCGAACGAAAATCCATAACCTTGATTTTTTAATCAGCGCGATGAACGATGCACCGCAGCACGAGCGGCTCGTAGATTATATTGAACAGAGATCAGAGCTTTGGACCTATAGACCGTGACTGAAATTTCGACGCGTGTAG